AGTGGAAGTTGGGTAAGTTTCTACTTTCAAGTTTGTGGCCTTGGTAGTTGGGTGTGTTGGATAATTATGAGTTTGTTGAGGGGATAATAGTCATTTTATCTTAAATTTGGGACTGTTTTGGTGTTTAAAGCTGATTAGAACTGAATGCCAAAGAATGAGATGGATGTTGAGAAATCTGCATTTATAAAGAAATCTGAGTATGTGTTCTGTTCTGGACAAAATGATCTAGTTCGTATTTGTGTTTTAAACTGGGTTTTTGATGGGTGAAAAATAGACAAAATGATCTATTTCAATTCAAATATGATTTCATTCAAATTGGAGTTAAATTGGATTTTTGGCAAATTTTCAAAGTTGGAATTATTCTGCAGAAAATAGAAAATTCTGCAGCCTATTCTGTTTTGGATTTAGTCTTTGTCTTGCTTCCTTAACTCGGAATTCAATGAAATTTTGATATGTTGAAGTTTTATATGTCTACTTGTGATCTGGAAATTTTTACGTCATTTTGAATCAAAATGGATTTTTAGTGATTTTCCAAAGTCAAGTTGTTCCTGCCTGATTTATTTAACAAAACTGAAGTTTCTGTTTTTAATTGAAGTCTTTGATTTCTTTTATTAGTCCAGAGCAGAACCACATGATCAGAGACTATCCTAAGAGCTAGAATTGGCCTAATGATAAACACATAATTATTACATATGTTATCCCTAAATTTATATTGTTAGTGCCTTATTTAAATTAATTTTTTTTTTTTTTTTCAGTTTTCAGTTTTTAGGTACATCTTTCACAAGTGCAGCCATCACCGGAGAAAAATAAGCGAACTCATGCTTGAGGTGTTGCTCAACCTAGAAAAGAAGAAGCAATAATCAGCAGATATTGAAAATAAAGCTTGGAGTGCCGCACCAAGCTTTTAAGCAAGCTAATGGGTTGAACAAATGAATAAGAAAATGGGATGTAGCCAATAAAGAAGAGTCCGCAACACTATAGATGGAATTGTATAGACAAGGGCAATTGGAAGATAATAAATAAATGTATGGATATCTGATTGTGGGCTGGCGGCAAGTGGTGAGAATTTGTCTATTCATGGCAAAATATGATGCAAAAAGAGCAGTTCCCATTCCTATAAATACAGCGTTGCTGCAGATGTAACTATATTCTTTCCTCTTATAGTGTTAACTTTATTCTTATTTTCAAACCTAGCTGGGGTGGCCTTTGAAGAACCTGTTTTGTTGTTGGAACTTACTGTAAATTTTGTACTCTTGTGGGTTTTGTAAATAAAAGGTTGCTTGTGAATATAACGAGTTTATTTACATTTCTGCACCGTTTTCAAAGTCTTATTTCTAACTCAAAAGCCTTATGTTCAATTGAGAACATGGTGTTATAATATTTAGTTTTAACATTGTAGTATTGTGTTGTTGATAGAGTATGGCACTGTTACATGCTCATTTTCCGAGCATGACAATATTGATATCCAATCAATTTTAAATCCATAGGATGTTAGTTGGATTGACTCATGTCTTTGATTTACTTCAAAGCGGTTCTGAGTTCAAGCCTTTATGGTAAACATATGTGTGAGTTTTTCCCATCTGCTAAACTTCCAAGAAATGAATCTTACACAAAAAAATAAAATAAATGACTTCTGAGGTATAGATGCGCTCCCACAGTTTAGCCTGTTAAGTGACTAATTTCATTATAAAAAAATTCATTTTCAATCAAATAGATGAATACAAATTCGCTAATTTCTTTTCTACAGAAGACATGAAAGGAGGATTCAGACCAAAATTCAGCCTCCAGCCCAAAGTCTAAATCTGAGTCTGCTAAACTCTGCAGGGAACGTGGCCACAGTGCCAGAATCCTTGTAGCATCTAAAATTTGGTGCCCCAACTTTACATTTTTTTGGTTACATTGGAGGGAATCAAATCTGGGCTTGTCCCAAATCTGAACCCGAGTAAGGAATGATCCAAAGCCTCTCAGGCACGGATTTTATAGCGAACCACAGCACCAAATTATGGAGATCCTATTTCCTTGTTTCCACTATGGTCACTATAATGCAAATTCAGTTAATAGGGTAACATGTCATTAAGTAACAACCCGCGGCTTCATGAAGTTTGAAGTATTGGAGCAGATGTGATAGACGAGCATTGAGCACTACATAAAACTGAGAAGAAGGCTAGAATACATGAGGAACGTAATAGACAACCCACATAGAAGAGAAAACCGATCGAGTGTCTTTTGAGGAACTTAATTATTGATTGGCCCCATGAAACTTAATTGTATTTTCTCAATCAAACTCAATTTGTGTCACTTTACCCTCTAAAACTCAATTTGTCTCACTTTACCTCATTTCCATATGTTCCGTCTAGAGTTTTGTCATTTTTAATGTCTATTAATTATTGTTTTTAGATACAAAATAAATGTTTATTAATTGTTAAAAAGAAAATTAGTACATTTATGCTATATGCAATCTCAGCCATTGGATACTTTTCAATCTAACGATCATAAAAGTGTTCCATAATGTGCATTGGATGTATTGGTTGAGTTAATTATGGTTCTGTTAGTGAATCTTGGGTGGGATATGTTTTGAGGGATATTTGGCTTGGTTTGTTGACCTACAAGTGTTTGCTGACCAACGTATTTCAAATCTTCATGCTATACTGTGATGGTTTTAGCTAGATTTGTTCCTTTCTGTTTCCTGTTAGTTTTCTGGCCTGTGTTTTTGCATGGCTTTGTTTGTACTATTCTCTACCCTTTTGGGGGGGGATTGCAATGAATTGAAACTTCGACCAAAATAAAAAATATATATATATAAAAAAAACCAGACGCATGAATTTTGTAATTATCAATTTGTAAGATTTCTTCTTTAAGAAATAGTCTAATGCAAAATATTCTATGACATGAAATCTTATAGATATTAAGAACGTGACGTATAGTGTTCAATTAGTGTTTAAAAAAAAAAAAATTAAGCATGCATTTCCTTTGTGTATTCACGCAAAATTAGTTAAGCATTTGTTTTCAGTTCGACAAGCTTCAAAATAATCTCGTTAAAACAATGGACTTAAAGGTATTTTACAAATTTTTTTTATCTAGATAAACTTATTTGAAAGCCTCTTGATGCATGGGGAAGTGCACGTTAAAAATCAAATTTAGAATATTCGATCACGTGAAATGACATGAAAATTGATAAGTTGCTTCAATTACCTTTTCAGTTTCGTAACAGCTGTATGTGTGGTCTTTGTAAATTCAGATGAAACATGTGAACGACTTGTCTGTAGCTAAACAAACTTATTTAATCCCATCATTAGCTTTATCGCCCAAATTTATATATAAGTGCCTCCCCAAATTTCTTTCCTAGTACAAAACGTACATATTGCTCATGTATATAGGTTCTTCCTTTTGTAATGGTTATCATTTTAGAACTTGAGAGCCCCTTTTTAGGTTTTAGTGGAAGGGGATGGAGAAAGAAAGGGAAAATAAAAATTGAGATACAAGTAAAATTAGTAAAAGAATATTCCATTGTAGAAATGAGTGGCCTGGGAGAAATTGATGCAAGAGAGATTGCTCTTGTAATGCAGCGCAAGGTACATTTATTTGCTTGTTACTTGCACTAGCGGATCTGTTAAGGAGCGAAGAGGTGCAGCTGCACCTCTCCTCGCCAGAAAAACTATTGTTGGTGCTTGAAATTGCCCATTTGCTTCTTAATTCCATCTTCAACATTTAAGTAAATGTCTTTGTCTTTTTACTTTCATTTATTTTTATTTTACTCCATTTACTTAAGTTTACAATATAAATAAGGAAGTACCCCCCATTTGGATTCAAATAAAAAATACTAGAAAATCAAATTCCCCTCAAATCAAAATTTGAAAAATCGGTTTTAGTGCAAAATACGATTTAGGCTAAAAACGATAGCTCATTAAGTCAATATATACTTCATAATAAAATTCCATAAAATCAAGTTTTCTTATTTGATGTGTAAGGAATAAAAGCCGCCAAAAATTATCTTGAGAAAATGATTATTCCGAAAAACCATTTTTCGTACTTAGTCAATATTTTTACATAGAACAAATTTTCATGTATGATATGAATGCATGAAGGGACCTAAGGTCAATCTAGGTAAAAAGCCTTAGATGTTCAATCCACAAAGAGTTTTTAACCTTTCAAAATTGCACCTCAGCTAAAAAAATTTTGGGTCCGCCAGTGGTTACTTGCTTCTTCTTTTCTTAGTTATTGTCAATTTGCTCTTGATTCATTATTAAATTAGCATAAATGCCAAATAAAGACCATGTTTCTGAGACTTTGGAATAGGATTGAAAGGACATGTGCGTGTTGGTGATTCTTTTTTTTGAGAAATTCTATGATTGCATTCATAATTCAGCTAAAAAAGCCACTAGCCACAAAAGGCCAATACAAACGAACAGCAAAAGGCCATTACAATAACGGAGCAGTCTAATATCAAAATTAAAATAAGCTGATGCGTCTCCACTAACGATCAGGTAGGATCGAAGAAACTCTGGCATAGGCATCCCAACTAAGATTGCAAACTTAGAATAATAAAAAGCTTGACAAAACTAAGCCATAACAATACAAATAAAACTCTCACAAAGAAGAGATGAAAAGCTCTCACAAAGGAGAGATGAAAAACTCTCACAAAAGGAGAGGTGAAAACTACACAGAGAACCCAAAGAGTCTTTGCAACTTATTCGAAACAGAAAGAAATTGCAAAAAAGATGGTGGTGGAGATTCGACGCCGAAATGCAGGTGAAGATCCGACGCTGAGCCTCAGCCGCCTATAATGGTTGGATGAAAATCATAACAAAACTAAGACAAATAGGGAAAACCCTTTGTCTGTGAAAATGAGGGAAGAGGTGAAAGGAGGAAGAGAAGAGGGGAGACGGGGGAAGAACAATGGCTTCCTCCCCCCTCAAAGTGGAAAAAGCTCTAAGAGTTGCGTGTTGGTGATTCTAAAGAGGAAAAAACAGGGGGAAACAAGTTTCTCGAGTTTCTCTTCACGAGTTTCAGCCACTTTCCATGACGCAAGGTCGGGGTCGTTACGAGTAGGACAAATATACACCAAGCCTTTGAAGGATGAGGTTCCAGTTCGGCTCCTACTTCACGACTATCTTTCCAGAAAACCATTCTCTCCCTTCTTTCTCCTTCAAACTTCTTTCTACCATAACTTTCATTCTACAACTCCAATTCTTGTGCCGCTTTCGCCTTTAGGATCGTATGAACGAGCTCTACAAGATAAGGTAAACCATTCTTGGATTTGGTTAAGTTTCGAAATTTTTCTCTTTCTAGTGACTGATTAAGCTTTAATCTCTTGTTTCCAAGTGTGTTTTGGGAGAATGGTGGTCACTAGGCAGCTCATTGAAGGTTGAGGATTACTTTGGAGCTGTTAAGGTAAGATTTGTTCGCCATACTTGCTGCTGGAATTCTAGTACAATGTACATTGATTTAAGTGAGATTGTGTAAGGGATTTCGGATGTTATTTGATGACATGCAAATACAGCAGGTGAAGAATCTACCTTGGGCAGAACCTACAGAGAACTCAGAGTAATTTTGGGTTGAAGTGGAAGTTGGGTAAGTTTCTACTTTCAAGTTTGTGGCCTTGGTAGTTGGGTGTGTTGGATAATTATGAGTTTGTTGAGGGGATAATAGTCATTTTATCTTAAATTTGGGACTGTTTTGGTGTTTAAAGCTGATTATAGAACTGAATGCCAAAGAATGAGATGGATGTTGATGAAATCTGCATTTATGCAGAAATCTGAGTATGTGTTCTGTTCTGGACAAAATGATCTAGTTCGTATTTATGTTTTAAAGTGGGGTTTTTATGGGTGAAAAATAGACATTTCAATGAGTATAAAGGGAAAAAAACTGGGAGTCTGGCACAACAAAAAAAACCCAGCTTTATTTTGTTTTTGCTTTTATACTCATCGAAATGTCATCATTGGAAAGATAGTGAACGCCCAGTTTAAAACTTGGTGTTTGGACTGGACACATTTCGATGACTGTCTTTCCAATGAATCTTACACGAAAAAATAAAGGGAAAAAAATAAAATAAATGACGTTTGAGGTATAGATGCCCACCCACGGTTTAGCCTGTTATGTGCGCTGACTAATTTCATTATTAAAAAAAATTCATTTTCAATCAAATAGATGAATACAAATTCACTAATTTCTTTTCTACAGATGACATGAAAGGAGGATTCAGACCAAAATTCAGCCTCCAGCCCGAAGTCAAAATCTGCGTCTGCTAAACTCTGCAGGAAATGTGGCCACAGTGGCAGAATCCTACGTAGCATCTAAAATTTGGTGCCCCAATTTTACATTTTTTGTTACATTGGAGGGAATCGAACCAGGGATTGTCCTAATTCGAACCCGAGTAAGGAATAATCCAAAGCCTCTCAGGCTAAGATTTTATAGTAAGGAATTATGGAGATCCTATTTCCTTGTTTCCACTATGTTCACTATAATGCAAATTCTGTTAATAGGGTAACATGTCATTAAGTAACAACCCGCGGCTTCATGAAGTTTTAAGTATTGGAGCAGATGATAGACGAGCATTGAGCACTACATAAAACTGAGAAGAAAGGCTAGAATAGATGAGCAACGTAATAGACAACCCACAAATAAGAGAAAACCGAGTGTCTTTTGATTCAGAATTGGAAGAGCTTAATTATTGATCGGCCCCATGAAACTTAATTGTATTATCATTTTTCTCAATGAAACTCAATTTGTGTCACTTTGGCTCATGAAACTCAATTTGTGCCTTATTTTACCTCATTTTTGTATGTTCCGTCTAGAGTTCTGTCATTTCCAATGTCTATTAATTATTATTATTAATTTTTTTTTTGAGGACCTCCTATTGAGAGGGGCGATAGTATCTAAACTCACACACACTACATGGATGCTAAGACTCGAACCCAGGACCTTGTTTGAGAGAGTAAATACTCCAAACCACTACACTAGTAGGTCCTTTGCATTAATTAATTAATTATTGTTTTTAGATCAAAAATAAATGTTTATTAATTGTTAAAAAGAAAATTAGTACATTTATGCTATATGAAATCTCAGCCATTGGATACTTTTCAATCTAACGATCATAAAGGTGTGCCATAATGTATATCATAAAAGTGTGCCATAATGTGTATAAAAAATGTGCCATAATGTATATAAAAAATGTGTCTCCCTCGATCCTAACCTACATATATATATATATATATATATATGATTGTTCAATCTCCCTCTCTGACAGGACCCGCCCCGGAATTTCCCCCGAAACCGGGGCGGACCCCGTTTTGGTGCCGACCTCACACCGATGCCGGGCCCACATCACAACACCCCACACCT